TATTTTCAGGGGAAAAAAAAAAGATATGTACCCTTTGGATGTAACTGTTGACTGTAAGACTAAACATCTCAACAACTTATAACACCACAACAATATCATCATAACATTTCTAAACAATTAATGTGTTGTCATGCATATCAACTATGGAGATCTTCTACCATAGAGGTCAAATGCAAATTCAACTCCTATCTCTACTTTTCATATTTCATTTATGTAGTCTAGATGATAAAACCTTTTTTCTTTTCGTTGTTGTTGATTGCAAGTTGAATTTGTATTTTAACAGTTCAATCAGTATTTACTGTCCAAAATTTGATTGAGAAATTGCTTAGTTAATTTACAGTGTAATTATGTTTTTAAATCGTTTTATTTTAGCTTAATTATACTTTTTTGTCACCTATATTTCACAATTTTAAAAATTTTATCACTTAATTTTCAAAATTGTAGATTTTGCTAATGTGTTGATTATGTTTTAAAGTTCTTAGTTGATCGTGGTTGATTTTATATTATTTGCTGACATGGATTATCATGTCATGTTCATAATTAATATGTTATGTCAACAATTAATATATTACGAGATTAGCTAATAAAATAAAAAAATATGTAATATTTTAAAAATTAGGTGATAAAATGTTCAATTTTAAAAGTTATGGGACAAACTTCAGAAAATTGTGAAACATGTGTAAAAAGGTGCAATTACGTCTTTTATTTTCTGATTAATTATTTTGTTTAAAGAAACAAAGATTTGCCTTCATTTATATTGAATGATGTAGTTTTAGTAAATTATGATTCATGTTCTGAATTGTCAATGTGCATTTCACCGTGGCCTCATTCTGATTTGTGTAAGTGATGGTTACACTGATAGGTTCCTATGGGTCTATCCTGCGATACAAAAGTGTTGAGTGTGTAAAGCCTATTGGGAAACATTCCAGTGGGGAAATAAGTGATTTTCAGGAGATTTTGATCTACCTCCACAAGCTTATGTAAGCCTTGGTGATTTCTAATAAGAAAAGGATAGAAGGGTCCGTTTAATTACTAGCTATGTGTTTGCTTTTGTTTCCCTTGCTTGATTTATTTTATTTTAAACTTCATGGAAACTTCAGAATTGATTAACTGTTCAATATTCCCTTGTAACTCTTGATTTTGAATTTTGAATGATGCAGTCTTGATGACGACATGTGGGATGATGGCAATTCTCTAGGGCCTAAGGAGGTGTACAACTATTTAACTCGAGTTATGTATAACAGGCGTAACAAGTTCAACCCTTTGTGGAACTCCTTGTTCTTAGTGGTGTCAAGAATGGACAAAAGTACATTGGCATGGTGTGCTTTGATTTGTTTTATTTTGTTCAACAGTGAGTAGCCTACAAGTTTTCTCAGTTTTTATGGTTATGAATCTTACACAGGTCAACATGATTGGAATTAATTTTGAAGACAATCATATAGCCACTGGGCTGGGAAATCATCTTGCTAGGCCAATTCTCAGAGATGAGTGGCATGAAGATTTGACTTTTGAGGAAGGCGTCAAGTTGCTGGAAAAATGCATGCGTGTGCTTTTGGGTCGTGATAGATCTGCTGTCAACAAGATACAGGCTTTGTGTTTTTGTCTTTTCTTCATGCATCCATTTTCCCCTCAATCACTGTTCCCCAAGTGTATAGAAAACAAATGTGTAGCTAAATCTTCAGAAAGCTCAAGTTTCAATCATATAACTACATTGTTTTTTACTCTTTAAAATAAATCATGTGGTGGCATCAGCATGTGCATAGCGTGTTTGGAAATGGATTGTGATGTAATCTTTTTTTTTTTTTGGGTGAAAATGTAATGTAATCTTTTACATAAAAGTAAATGTTACCAGGAATGATTTCTAAAATTTTCGCACATACATACTCTTTGTTTGAATCTAATAACGTATTTGAAAATTTATTGACAATGAAGGAATGAAATATAAGACGTAAAAGCTAAAACTTTTAGTTTCAAAAAATCACATCAGGAATATACAAAATCAGACCCGAAACGAGGAACCAAACACCTATATAAGTGGGAGTTCTCTTCTTGTATAAAAAGCAGATAAGTGGAAGGCAAACAAAGAGTATATTATATACTCATTGTTTGATACAAAGACTTGATCCATGTCAAAGTACTAAAGTAGCAGTCAATAACAATAGTTTTTGCGTTTTTCTCCTCAAATGACTCAATTCATGGACTTATGCATGCCTTCTTCAACTCATTTCCAAACACGCGCAACTTGCAAGATGCAGCTAAAAATAAAGGCAAAGCTAACAAATCTATTAAGGGTTATTTATTTATTTATTTATTTAATATTTTTATAATTTTAATTCAATGAGTCAACCTAATTACTTTAACCGAATGAAACAAAATCTCTTTGCACCTAATTTTAGCTCCATTTTTAATATTGAGAGATTTCGAGGAGAGGAGAGAAATTTTAAAACTTTTTTAAAATAATATTTAAAATATTATTACTTATATTTTTAAAATTTAAATTTATAAGGATAAAAAATAACCTAATTATTTTAACCAATTATAACTTTGAGCATAAAAAAATAATAAATTTAGTATCCATTCTTTTAAAATTATAAAAAGAATAATCGCTAATATATAATTTGTAAGATAGTAATTTTTAATTAAATTATAGTATTTGGTTGAAAGAGAGTGAGAGTGAGATTTTTATAATTTTTTTGTTTGATTCAATTTTAAAAAGGAAATGGAATGAAACAAAATATCTTCACACCTAATTTTAGCTCCGTTTTTAATATTGAGAGATTTAGAGGAGAGAGGAAAAATTTTAAAACTTTGATGAAGCTGAAGTAAGAGAATCTTCATCAGATGAATCTGTGAAAAAATTATCATCTGATTTGGAGATAATTCTCATATTAGCTTGTCGGTTTATATGAGTCACACTCTACGAAGGTCCTTTCAGATGCTTATCTTTTATAAGGATAAAAATGAATTAAATTTTTTTAAAATTTTTCAGCTTGTGAAGTAAATATGAAAAGAGTTATCTGCTCAACTAAGCAAGATTTTTAACTCTTT